AGGAGCGCGGGAGGAGTGCGGGTCATTTCCCCCGAGCAATCGCGGGGTTCAGCGGAGCCGCGCGCCCCTCGCAGGCTCAGAGCGCGGAGGGAGGTGCGCGCCCTTGAGTTCCGCGCGGCGGGCACAGGCCAGATGCCGGGGCCCCAAATGTCAGTAGGACCCCGCGAGTGCCCCCCACAGGTGGGGAAAGGGAAGGCCTACAGGACGAAGGATGGGGGGGCGGGGGCCTCCCCTCGGTCCTCCCCTGGCTAGACCCCTAGGGGTGGGGGGGCTTCCAGGTCCTCTCCTGTGGATAGAGGGAGGGGCTCGTGTCTTTGTGCCCCTGGGGCTGTGACAATGGATGTCTTGCCTGTTTGGGCATTTGAGTGGGAATTCAGTCCAGTTTGCCTGAATCTGGCTTGTTGATCTCTCACCTCTGACCCCCCTACCTCTCTCCCTAGATTGACCAGGATGGGCTCACCCTGCCAGAGAGGACCCTGTACTTAGCTCAGGATGAGGAGAGTGAGAAGGTGTGGGGGCATGGGGTGGGGTTGCCGGAAGGCCTGGGGCTCTGGGAGGGATGGACTGGGGCTTAGTGATGACCCCACCCCCGACGTGCCCCATCCTGGTGCAGATCCTGGCAGCATACCGGGTGTTCATGGAGCGCCTGCTCAGCCTACTGGGTGCGGATGCTGTGGAGCAGAAGGCCCAGGAGATCCTGCAGCTGGAGCAGCGGCTGGCCAACGTGAGCAGGGGCACTGCCGGGGGCTAGGGCAGGGGACATGGGGCAGGGCTGGGTCAACCTGATCTCCACCCCAGATCACAGTGTCAGAGTATGATGACCTCCGTCGAGACCTCAGCTCCATGTACAACAAGGTGACGCTGGGACAGCTGCAGAAGATCACCCCCCACGTGAGTGTGGTCCGGCCCTGGTGGGGGTGGTGCTGATCCCAGGACTGCTGGGTCATCCCCTCCTCTTGTCCTATCTCCCTGACCCCTTCTCTGTGCTCTGTGGTCCCTGCCACACCCAGCCCCACTGTTCCCACCCATGGCCCCACAGCTGCAGTGGAAGTGGCTGCTGGACCAGATCTTCCAGGAAGACTTCTCAGAAGATGAGGAAGTGGTGCTGCTGGCCACAGACTACATGCAGCAGGTGTCCCAGCTCATCCGCTCCACCCCCCGAAGGTACAGCTGCCAATCACCCTCCCCAGGCCCTTCCCCTGCACCCAGACCGATCTTCTTGGTGAGCTTTGATTCCCACCTCCACCTCTATGCAGGAGCCACACTGGGGAGGCATGTGAGGAGCACTGGAGTAGGAGTCCTGATCCCTAGGTTTAGGCATGGTTCTCTCACCTACTCTGGAACCCTAAGCAGGGCTGTGAGCTTCCTGAGCTGCAGTTTCCTCATCTGGGGATAGTGAGGCTTGAGTGGGTCTGGATGTCAGAAAGGGCAATTGTGGCCACAGCTCTGCCACCCCAAGGACACCTTGGGGAAAGCTTCCCTGCTCTCTGCCCACCTCGGGGAGGAGCAGAGGCCTCTTAAGGCCAGCTCTGGGGCAGATAGTCACCAGAAGTGCCCACTCTCCCACCCCATAGCAAGTCAGAAAACAGTTCTTGCCGGTGGCCCGTCAGCATCAGGTGCTCTGCTTGGTGGCCATGCTGTATGTGGACCCAGTCCTTTTCCCTGACTAGGTCGCTCCAGGTTCTGCCTGTGTGTGCCTGGAATGACCCTCACTTCTGGGGGGGTGCTAGGTCCAATCCCAGGCTCGGGAGTATGGGGTGGGGCAGGGTGGTTCACTCTGGTGGCCCAAGTATGTGAGCCTAATCTGGACACCCAGCTCCTTCACCTGGCTCTCAGGATCCTGCACAACTACCTGGTGTGGCGTGTGGTGGTGGTCCTGAGTGAGCATCTGTCACCGCCGTTTCGAGAGGCTCTGCATGAGCTGGCCCGCGAGATGGAGGGGAGCGAGAAGCCCCAGGAGCTGGCCCGTGTCTGCCTGGGCCAGGCCAACCGCCACTTTGGCATGGCTCTTGGTGCCCTCTTTGTACATGAGCACTTCTCAGCTGCCAGCAAAGCCAAGGTCAGGCTGCTCTGGGCTTGGGGGTGGGGGTGCAGGTGCTGAGCTGGGCATGGAGTCCTTGCATGGCCTTGATCTGAGGATGGGGAGCCTCACACATCCCAGGGGCAGCAGGCTCAGCTTAGGGCTCTGCCCTCTCTGAGGCTCCAGGCTGCTTTCATGAGGCCTCCTCCCTCAGGAAGCCTACCTGATCTGTCAGCCACAGGAGAGCCTCCGCACTAAGTTCCTCCCCATCTTTCTCTGCCATGCTCAGTAGGCATGGCCTTAGGGATGTATGTGATCGTTGCTGGGGCAGTTTGCCCCCTTCCAGACTGGGAGCTTTTTGTCTGGGGCGCAGAGCCTGGATCCCCATCTCTAAGGTCTCCCCTTGGTCCTTAGCACCAGCCCTGAACTTAGGAAGTGGTGCTGAATGATCAGGGGACCCCTCATGCCAGGTGCTGGGGGCCCAGAGCTAAGCCCTCCTGGGTTGATCCTTGAGCCCCGAGCCCTGACCCTGCAGGTGCAGCAGCTGGTGGAAGACATCAAGTACATCTTGGGCCAGCGCCTGGAGGAGCTGGACTGGATGGATGCTGAGACCAAGGCGGCCGCTCGGGCCAAGGTGAAGTGGGATCCGACTCCCATTTGTTTGTTCCACACTTATTAAGCGCCGATGGTGTGCCTGGGGCTGGGATAACAAAAGAGACAAAGATGCCTTTTATGGAGTGGCATCTCCCAGCCTGCTCTGCTCTATCCTTGAACCCCACCTTTAAGCTGGAGCTAGAGCTTTCTCCTTGGCGGGCGGGGGCTGTCACCTAGGCCCTGGCCCACTCTCTCTGCCCTCTCGACTACAGCTCCAGTACATGATGGTGATGGTGGGCTACCCAGACTTCCTGCTCAAGCCCGAGGCCGTGGACAGGGAGTATGAGGTGGGCTTGCCCTGGCCTCTTCCTGCCCAGCCTGCTCAGCTGGGCTTCTGCAGGCGCCTGGCCCAGAAGCTGAGGGACCTCGGGAGGGCAAGGGGCCTGCATGTGCTGGTCCCCCCCCCCCC